GTTGAGCTCTGAAGTAAACGGTTGCGTCGACGTCCTCTCCGATCTTTTTCTTCATCGCGGGCATCAGAGAAGCGTAATCGAGCCAGGGTCAATTCAGTGACCCCGGTGTGGTTCAAGACCACATGCTGGGGCCCACAACAGTGCCACCTCAAACCTCCGAATTTTCACTACCCGACATCTCAGCTAGTCGACAGTCCGTATCAGCTTGAGTGGAGAAACGATGATAGCGAAGATCGCGTTTTGTTTACATTTGGCCACCTAAGTCTTTTATAGCAGAGAGCGTGAGTGAAAATCGATCGTCAATCGATAATCGATGCCACTCGATCAACTCGTGTATACGCTGTTCTCAAACACCTTAGTGAAAGCTCACGACAATATACAATTAATACTAAAACTAATCTTGATCGGCTCGAAGAGCGCATTTCCCTAGTTATATGGACGCTTTATATTCCACTTTAGCCTCAGCTTGATAATTAGCACATTTATGTGACAAACAATGCCAACGTTGCTGGAATTCGCCGAGGTAATTTGTGTCCAGTGCAGATGCATTCCCTAAATGGATTGCAGGTTGTTATTTATGGATAAACTTGTAAGAACTAAATGCTGTTTTTGTGTTAATGCACTGCTGTGAATCGCGTTGATACACACTCCTTAATCCAGTCACCCCAGTCTCCAACACAGAGTTCCCCTTTTCGCAGCATGTAGCCTGCCGCGCGGATCCTCTACTCCCCCCTCATTAGCACAAACATTTATCTTGGATTATCCTCACACCGTGAGAACCAGACAACTACCTCGTGTCACACAATAGAATCAACCCCGCGCCAACTCTCACACCTCGTTGTTGTTTGCACGTTTGTCTGTCTGACCAATCAGCATGTGTCTGATGCATGTGACCTTCCTTCGCTGTCACGCTCAGCCCCACCCCCTACCAAGTCCTCTTTTTTTCTACTTCAGAAACAATAAGCATATATTTTTGTGTCCTTCTGTGTTTTTTGGCACACGTCGACCATTCCAATTTCGGAAGCCCGTTTAACTCCGCTGTTCTTTTCACTCATGTCAATAAATGTGGCTGCGTAGATCACACCGGCTGTAACCGGCGTCAGATGCTGCATACCACAGCGGGGACAGAAATTATTGTCAACAGCTCTCATCCCAGTTTTAAATTACAGTTTTTTTTTAAATTGCTCAAACGCTATTTCATATCACCAATGGTAGGTGAACACACGCTACTATCAAATTTTAAGTAGCACATACTGAACAAACAATGGGCAAAAACCGTTGAATAAATGAATTTTGATTGTAATGCACACCACGCGACCAGCGGAACGGAAGTGCTAGAACAATCACAAAATTGGATAATTTTTTTCGCCAAATTTCATTATGCCGGTTTGTCGCAAGAAGCTCTCAAACCTCGAAAATTTTATCGAGCTCAATTCACATCATTTTCAATAATTTTTTTTATAAAAATAGTGACAAACCGGTTCTAGGACAAGCAGAGAGCTTTACTGTCCCAGGAAGGAATGGGCCAATAGGGAAAAGGAGGCAACTATGAATGGGAGAGTTGGTGTGCATAAGCCCAGTTGATATTAGTAAACAAAAAAATTGTAAAAATCCTGACAATTGCATTTATGGGGATGCTGAATCACCAACCAAAATACATTCTGGTTTTAAGGATGAATTTTTAATTAATTTGTCTGCCAAATACCGGGCCTACCACAAAGTGCATAAAATCGATCGATTTGAAGTATTTTATTGATCTTGTTTAAGCACAAATCACTCCACAAGCGTCTGGCTTTTACAAATCGGTGTGATGTTTAAATGGGTTCGTGTAGGCTATTTCATATCAAAATGTGCCTGTAACGGGCAATTCATTTGGTCAAATGGTACCTGTTTAGAAAATACTGTATTTGCAATTACGTTTAACAATAAAAGTCTTCGACTTGTGGTGATCAACATGAGAGCAAACGTGAATTCAATCAATAATCTTTAAGGCCCTCCCCGTATCGACGAAGATCAGTGTGCGAACATTTTTTTTCATACACGAGCGCACGCTCATGAGTTCAAATTTATTGATTTATGTGGTCAAAGCACGTCAAAAGTCGTTTGTACACAACCATTTCCTTTTGACCAATAAGCGCTGATCAAGATAAACAATGAATTTGGGGGGTTGACTTGAAGTAGAGAACCTTTCATTGAAAATCATTTCTCATTATTGATTTCGACTTTAATTTGTTTGCGTCTTCTGACTCGCTTGTTATCGAACAAATGGGCAAAGCCGTTGACGCTGTCTCAGCCAGTAGTCGAGCAACACGTCACATTGAACAGACTACAAATGCCTTGAGGTACCTCAACCCAAGGGATTGTTGAGGTGAAGCGTATTTGAGTAGTAAATATGGTGCGACCACTGAAATGATTCAGCTGACGCAATCATTAATTTCACATGGATTATTGTGACGAAGAATGCCGACTCTCCAAACTTGACGAATTTGCCTTAAGTGTCAGTGGCGCCATGTTTGTACACCTTTTCGACCAATCCACGCCAAGTTCTTTACACACCTACACGGGTGGCATTTTACGTTCTTAGGCAACAGGTGATGTGTCACATGTTCACGGCGAAATCGCAAAACAACCACTGAAGCTCGACTCCATCAATCACAATCCTC